CAAGGGTTCTCCTAAATGCAAAGTTTGCACATAGTGACGAACGTAACCCTATCATGTATTTTTTCTGATAGTTGTGTTCATATGTGTCCAATTACCTCCAAGGAATACGATTGACTTATAAAGTCACTACAATACTATAAAATGTCATTTAATCTGGTAATTTTATTTTAATTTATGCATTTACTAGATACCCATGACAAACTTAATTTTTTTAACGTCACTTATAAAAATAAAAACTGATGAATGCGAAATAAACCACTTTCGGAAAGCAAAAAGCTTCAAAAGTGCGGTAGCACTTTATAATAAGGCTTGTTTAGATGGATATAGACAATAAAAGACTTTGGGCACTTCATTTTCAATCCGCCGATAACCCCACATTTGGTTTTGTTAAATGAAGATTTTAAAGAAAATAAAGATATGAAAGAAAAAGTGAACCTTTCAGTAGTTGTCTATGGGAAAATCTTTCAATAATCTCTTGTAAACTTTTCAAATATGTTCATTTTCACAGGGCGATTTACAGAATGAACAAATAGTATAGATACTGGTCTGTTGTCGAATAAATATTGCTGATCTCTCAACTTAAAAAAAAAGATGCACGATCTTGAGTTATGTATTAACATTAATATATGTGGCTTAAGGTATAACGATTTTGAACAAATAAAAAATATAACCATGACCTTAAGATATGCTAGATTTAGTATACAAAGGGATAAGATCGCTGCTCAATGTTTAGCTGTGTTGTCACAATAAACAAATCAGACATGGCTTGTAAAGGCCTATTTGCATAGATAAGATTTATTCACGTTTACCGCTTCGTTTATACTTTGATATCATTTATAAAACGTTTACTGTTCATGGGCCGATGTATTCTATCACTGTCATTTTCGCGTCTTGAAAAAGTATTTCTTTGTTCATCCCTCTTTACAATTGAAAATGGAAAGGGGAATGTGTCAGAGAGACAACAACCCGACCCAAGAGCAGACAACAGCCCATGGCCACCATTGTTTCTTCAATGCAGCTAGAAAATCCTGCAACCGGAGGCGGGCTTCAGCTGACCCCTAAACAGTAATGGATACTAGTTTAGTGAAAATGGACGTCACACTAAACTCCAAAACATATAAATGAACCAAAATTAAAAAAAAATATATAAAAGACTAACAAAGGCCAGAGGTTCCTGATTTTGGTACAGGCGCAAAAATGAGGCTGGGTTAAACATATTTTGTGAGATCTCAACCCCCCTACCTCTATGTGGAATAAACAAACACACAGCAATACGCACAGTAAAACTCAGTTTAAAAGAAGTCCGAGTCCGATGTTAGAATAGGTAACATAAGAAACTAGTAAGCAAAATGACAATGATCAACATAAATTAACAAAGGACTACTAGTAGTTACTGACATGCCAACTCCAGACTTCAATTAAACTGATCGAAAGATTGTGTCTTCATCACATGAAAATCAATCATTTTGCCTATTTCGTCCTCTTCGGCTTTTATTGACCATTAAAGTATGGGATTAGAATGCCAAAGTCTGGTCGGTTCCTTTGTTTCAGGCAACAATACTACATTTACAATGGAAGTCTTCCTATCTAGTCAAATTATTACAGAATGCAATAACTGATGTTATTTACTTTTTAGCGTACCTTGCTTCATTGACAATGACGATGTTTCAGGTTCCTTTGAAATAAGAGTACTTGCATTCCTAGCCTAGTGCTTTAGCTTCATACTAAGGGAACCCATTTCCTGTATTAGGTAATGTTTTGAAAATACTCCCACTAAAAATCTGTATATTTTGTTTACGAGGTTTCATGCCTTATTTTTATGATTGACTCGTTATGTCATTTTAATCTTTTAAACTAATTTCTTTGTTCAATGCGATACTTCTGTGACATTGGTTAAATGAATGAAATTCTACCCATGTTTTAAAAAAAGTCATTTTTCATTAATCATGTTAACAAGAGTAAACAAATATTGATATATAAACACCGTAATAAAACACCTTCGCTGCACCACCTTGCACTTTAACATTGTTATTTCCTAGCCTCTTCCCTGTTTAAACACAATAAAATGAGTTCCATTTGTAAATTCCACAAGAATGCAAAGCCTAAACACAATAAAAAGTAAACTAATAAAAATACCAAACTCCAAGGAAATTCAAAACGGAAAGTCCTTTATCAAATGGCAAAAAACAAAAACTCAAACACACCAAACGAATTCGAATGGAAAACAACTATCATATTCCTGGCATGGTACAGGCATTTCCTTATGTAGAAAATGTCGCTAACTTGTTTTTTTTTAAAGTTCAATCACTTTTAATTTTTACAATAAATTACATGTCCGGCATTGTTTTTCTTTGATTTAAAAAGCTTTGAACGCGAAAAATAATATTAAATTAAAAAAATAATTATAGGTTGAAAATATTGATTTAGCATGATTGTTTTCATAGAAATTTTCAGGTTGTTTGCAGGACAAATCAACCTGGCAATGTTATCGATACTTTGTGGTCATCGTTGGGATCTATTTGTTTTGATTTTATTGTACGTCTCTTGTTCATTTGAGTAATTGAGTGATTTGAAAATTAGATTGGATTCGTCCTCCGATAAATTGGTATTTAAAATATCTCGAGCGATGTAACGCGCGGGGGGATATAAGTTCTCAATGTATGCATGGCACACAATCAAACAATGAATAAGATTCTCTAACTTAAGTGTAAACTATAGAAAAATGAAATGAAAAAAAAACATCATAAAATTCGGTCGATACAAGGTATTTTTTAAGTAAAGAAATCATAAAAACCTCGGCCAACAGTCTTTGTAAATATAATATCCATCTCATTTCTTAGTAAGAAGTAATGCGGTCATGCCTGCCATGAGTTAATTATATGAAGCTTGAGGAGATGAAATATATGATAATGATCCAAAATTCAACATAAACTATAGAAAAAATAGTTTGTCTGCACAAAGAATACTATTATTTAACCATATTTGATTGATTGAATATTGGTTGCTTAACGTCCAGTGCCTAACCATATTTGATAACATAATACAGAATGAGGGGATATTTTCTTAGTTATCAAGATTGATTGTTGTTTGTTTAACGTCAATTACCAAATATTTCATGCATATTCGAGGGTATCATCAGCTCAGAAGTCAGTACAGTCAGGTGTTCTTTGTAATTTATCACAAACCCATCTTAAATTGTCCGTTTATAAATTTATAAATTGTTAACAAACTAACGTTGACTTTTGATTAATTTGGCTATTATTTTGATGTACTTTTTGGTCATTAAGCTCTTCAACTGTTTCGGTTCTGTTACATCCTTGGCTTTCAAATATTCGAATTTGAGCGTTCCTGATGATGGTAAATCCAGAGAAGCACTTAGAACACATGAAATTTATAAATTGTTGTTTTTTTTGGTTTTTTTTTTCAGGATGAGAAAATATAAACAATAAATCCAATAGATTCTAAGGTTCTTCTGTAAAATGTGTCAACATGGATGAAGGGCGGGAATTGCGTGTCGTCTGCAACAGGGAAATTAGGGTCTATTGGATAGAGACAGAACTTATGCGGGCCACCAACATATTCCTTAAAGATGGTTCTTTAACGTGCAGAGAGTGTGGCACTCTTTCTATACGAGGCATCGGATATATCTTATCGTATTTACACATCATGAACAACCGAAAAACAACACTCTTCTTTAGCATGTGTTTTTCTGTCCGATGAGAAAAGTCAAGGAATTACCATGTTTCTGTACCTATTATAGTTAATAAAAATTTAGAAATAAAAACTTGAAAATTACACTTTAGAGCATTCTTAATCTTCTTGTAGATTATGGTAAATAAATAAGACACATAGGATATATGTCAACGAAACAGCAACCAAATGACACAATAAACCAAGCAAAGATATCCAGAGGCCGACATGTCTGAATATGTCATGTTTGACAGCTGCTTTAGACAGACTGATTTACATGTCTATTCTGTGAAAGGATTATTGGCGAAAGTCACCACGATGTTAAATGGCCGAAACAGCGGGTTGATGCAAATCTTGATGCTGTTCTGTCTTATTATATTTTTATTTGTTCCTCCACGTTTTGATATTTCTTATGGCAAATTTTGTCAGTTAAATGCTCTTACTAGTATTCGACATAATCAATTATAACTACAAGATTGCTAAGACTATATAGTTGAAGACAAGTTCTGTTCTACTGATGAAAGATTGAGATCGCACGTTGACGTCGTTGAATTGCCTTATAGGCGCATGCTCATGTGGGTTCTTTCTCCTATTCACATTCATGCACGCACCCAACTCTTTCGTATACTCACCCCTATTTTACTATCCTGCAGAAAATTTTCAACTATTTCTGATGTAATCAAAACAATATTTGTAAATAAATAAACATGCAGAAAATATTTACTATGATGCATTCAGGCGAGCAAGCATGTGACCACAACTCGTAGTTGTGGTTTATAAAGTATTCAAGTCACTCAATTCTTATTATTGACAACTGATGATGCTGAAATTTGATGGTTTCAATTGAATAAAAGTAACAATTGGCATTAATCATTGAAAAATCACTTCCGTCGCATAGACAAACCCTATACAATCTTTGCAAATATGAAAATTAAAATATATTTGCAATAATTAAGACTTTTAAGATGACGTATTGACAAAAATAGAATACTTCAACGTGATGAATAGCTTGTCTGTTAACGACTCTAGCATCAACGCATTATAAGATTGTAATTGTTCTCTCATATGTAAATTCATCCTTGTAAAAATTAAATAACTATTATCAAGCTAAGAAACGCTCAGAAATTACCGATGTTAAATGAATTTGTTCTAATGTATACACGTCCGGTTGTAACTGTAAAATTAAGACTTTTGGAAAAATGTAAGATTCGTTTCATTCAACGAAGATTTAGTTCAGTTCTGGTTGACCACTCAATATTGTTATATTAACCGCAGAGGGATTATAGTTTTAACACACCTACGTATTTAAATGTTACGACCGAAAGTGACCCGTTTTTAATGTACAATAATATTTAGATATTTATCAATGGATGCTACATATTTACTGTGTAATACTACAGTTCCGGTCTTAAAATGCGATGTGACAGCGACACAATACCAATCATGACGTCACAAAATATAAATAACAATACGGAAACAATTTGCTCCTTAATTTCAAAATGTATAAAAAGGGCAGAAATTGAACGGACTATTTCAATTAAGAAAATTACTTCAATTTCAAGTGTTGTTTGCTTATATAAATAAACAATCTAACGGAAAGATAAATAAATTTTGAGTTGTGCACTGACTGTTAGCCTTGTGTCAGACTTTCTTTGGACGTGCTATAGATATTGTATTGATTAAATATTTTTAGAGCTGTAGGATGAATAGTTATTGTATATTGGTGACGCTATGTTTTGCCAATTGTATTACAGCTCTTCCTATTGGCACTGAGGTACATGTTCACGCACATACGTTTCCTAAGATAGAAAGAATAATTGTCCATGTGCAAAAACGTATGGCTGATATTTGGGACTTTTGGCAGCTAAACAGAAGTAAGTTTATTATCTTATATTAAGTTGTAAGTTTATTATCTTAAATTAAGTTGTAAGACATATCTTTAATTTTGTTTATATATTATTGGCATATTTCTTCCTAAGCAATATTTATGTTATAAATAACCAAATAAAGTTTATAATAAATTTTACCTTAAGTCTGACATAAATGATATCGGAATACAGTAAAGCACCTCCCAAACAACATTTAAAGAATTTAAAATTCAAATTAATATTTAACTATGCTATACATATGATCTTCAATACAGTTCATTGTTACGAAATTTGAAGTTCAGTCAGTCGGTCGACTCTTTCGTTCAATTTAAAAAAAAAACGAAAAATAACCTAAATAACCTCGAGTCGTATAAAATTTTCAACACAATATTGAACAAAGCCCTTTGAGAACAGCCGTTCATTTTCAGTTTTGACACATTTAAAGAATGATAAGATAAAATCTATAAAGTGTATAAGCTGTAAAAACGATTATACATAAAAACTTCGATAAACCGCAATGCAATATTCTTTAAACAAAAACAACAATTCTCGTTCTGGTCTGTAACCTATGTTTGACACACATTTTCAAATTGTGCATATTATTTCAACTTTTATCAAAATCCAGGCCTCTTATGCAAATATTTAATAAACCTACAACCCGAAGTGACCACTTGACTAAATCTTTTAATCTAGATTTTGATGACCTGACAAGTGTTATCTTATATTCCAAAGATCTTTAGCATTAAATTCAGATTAGCTGGAGAAAAGTCTTTTAAATATGAAAACAAACATTTCACCATATTAATAATATTTATGTCTGAAGTAATTAACTAAATTTATGTGGTATATAATATCTTCCACTAGTTGGTCACAGTTTGAAATAAAATATGTCAGAAATGAAACGAATGTCTATCAAAGCAATCAGTTTTGTTTATCAACAAATTAGAACGAAAACGATGTAAAAATCAGATTTCCTGTGATAAGATATTTTTCCACACGTAATGAGGATGAAATTTGTGCACTGTGCATTAATTACCCACAAGACTTAAAAGGGGTACAAGAGAGGTATTTATTCCAAGTTTTTGCTTTTTTTAATATCATTTGACCGTCGCTTGCCCCCCAAAAAATGTTATGTAGACGTTATATCAAAGTCACTGCATTGTAACAGTATCTCACGACAAAAAGAATGAAAAAAACTTTTTTGATATCAGAATTATCTAATCGTGAGCTTTTGTGTTAAATATTTGCACTTAAATGTTCAAGGTAACGGAATTGATGTAAAAACCACAAAAAAATAAGTTTCTTTATTCCAATAAACGTGACGTGGTGTTCATGTTCCTTCAAAGAGAATTCCCAAGTAACAAAGCCAACATAAACTTAGTGTAAATATTTGGTCAACCGAAATTTCTTACAGCAACTAATATTCATGTGACGCCTTGTAAAACTATCAAAATCGGACTCAATTTGCTAATGTTTATAACGTCAGTATTCCATCCGAAAAAAGCAACAAATACTGGCCAGACAGTACAAAACTAAGCCAGTCAAAATTAGATTTTGATGGCCCGACAACACAGTTATTTCGTAGTGTATTTCTTTTAGACAATAAATGAAAATTAAAATAATCTAACCTGAGCTTTCTCAATAAAATTTTTACAGTGTGGTGTACTACTTTTGGGACAAATTATATCAAAATTATAGAAAACTTCATCAGCTCAAATTTAAAATATGGACAATTTTATGTTAAAGGGGTCTTGAATTCTTTTGACAGCTTCAGGCATACTAATTTTAAACCCTTTTCAGCTGGACCAAATCACTACTTTACTTTAAAATTCAGGACCCACATTTTTTATGAAAGTGTAACTTATCCCCCTACTTGCTATTTGAGGCATAAAAGATGAAGAAATAAATTTAGAAGGGGTATGCAAAAAATTGCAACTAATACACTGTCCACATTAGGGACTAGTATATTTGTAGACAACGAAAATCAAAGTACGATAACTGTGTTCCCGGACCTGATATACTTATCATGTTCTAGTAGAGTACAGTATATTAAACATAACACACGAAAATGGATGTCACTGGTTAACTTTGCTGTCAAAAATGCAAAGTATTTTTTTTATCTAGTATATATCTCAACCAGCTACGACCGGTCGTGCGTCGTTAGCGATGAGCTGTAATTGCTTTCAATTTACCCCCTTTTCTCATCTGTTGAACTTTTACCAGGCCTGATCATCAAATTTTAAAATTCTTCTTACATTGTAGATATTTGTCCCCCTTCACTGTGTATGTTTTCTGATGATTCTGGACTACCCAGAAGACCAAAGGGTACAGGTGAGTTTAAATAAAGTTCTTGTGGTTTACATAGAAAAGTTGTAAGAATGCATATTGTGACTCAAAAGATTGCTAGTAAAGGCACCAGTACTTCTGAAATATCAGTTACTTCTTGTCATCTAATACATATCCGAAAATTTAGATACTTGATTTCGTCCTAAACTATATATTTTTTTTAAAGATAGCACTTTACTTTGTAAATGCCTTTTTATAAGCTATCAAATTCGTTTTAAGAAGCTTATAATTTAAATATGGAATGTTCTTGAATAATTATTTGGTCTTCTATTACTCCGATCTTTTAACTCGTCTGTAAACAAAAATATTTCGTTTAATCATTTTCTGATGATTATGACATAGGAATCAAACCTCGTGGGACTAGGAAGTGATGCGCATGTCTAGCCATATAGCCATTTTGCTCTTACGTGTGATAAGAAATGCAATTGGCAAACATTTTGTCAAGATTTTTGATTTTATTGCAGAAGAATGAGTTTTTCATTTATATTATTTCACGCCATATGTATGCTTTTTGTTTTTTTTTGCGTTTAAGTCCTATAGCAGCCAGCTAAAAATAAAAATAAAAAACAAACCCCATCTTTAATAAACTAAACATGCATACATTTATTTATATCAAAATCAATCTTGTTTAATAATTTAATCTGGCAATCTACCCATAAGTTAAGAATTCTTTTATTTTGAACCAAATGACATTCAAAGTTAAAAAAAATCCTTAAAAATCCATATTCTTGATTTTCAAAAGATTATTTGAAATATTTTTCGTGCTTGTTTTTGACCTCAGTCTCTCAAAAAAACTACCAGCAACTACCTTGGCCTAAACGCAATATTTTTGTCTTACTTATTTAAATTATAACTTGGATGGAGAGTTGTCTCATTGGCACTCATACCATATCTTCCTATATATATTTACAACACGTATTGGATAATCTTCTGTTTTACAACAGCATTCAATAGCTCAATGACGATTGCGTAACAAACTGCTTTTGTTTTTTACAAGTAAATCTAATTTTGTCAATCATGCATAAGGTATCTAATGTTAAGTTGAATTATTGGTACCATGAAAACGGTTCTAAACATTTCAATTACTGAAGTTTTACTGGAATAATAATTTATATCGTCTGATTAACAATGTGATAGCAAAAACACGATGTATCAGAAATTGTATCTCAAAATCAGATGTGATAAAGAGTACCGATGGGTACTGTACATGAAAGTTGATTAGATAAAATCTCAAGCAATTAAAACACTGGATGCAAATGTTTGCTACAATTTGATTTTATGTTCTAAATTGATCGAGAATCCAAGCAGAACATTCATAAGTTTAAAAAAAAAAACATTTATGAACTTTTAGATTTAATTTAGTATAATTTAGTTTATGCATATATAATTTATTTATGTTAAAATCGTATTTTTCTAAATGAATACTAATAACCCCTTTTTTTGCAGGAGGTTCCGTTTTTTATAATGGCGATATTGTCTTGGACAGTTCCAATGAAAAGTATATTTTCGGAGATAATGAAGTTTCCATTCGTAAAAAAAGATCCGCCGTTCGAACTCAGAACAAATTATGGCCGTATGGTATTCTCAAATACAAATGGGCGTCGAATATAGGTAAACTATATACAAATACTATCTAATGACATTCTCATCTTTGTAAATATACTATAATCATATTTACAGTGACATTTGTAAATTTACGGGTGTAATAAAAATGTAAATAGATAAAATAGTTAGTTGTATCTTTTCAATCGATGTTCACTTGACTTTTCAAACGAGACTCTTTAACATACTTTTTGACGCATTAAGTACTTTAAATGACAAAGTAGTTTACATTTTGGTTATACAATTACACTAACTCTACTTTAAAAAAAAATTACTACTTTCATAATCAATGACCGTGAAAGATGATTTTTGTTGGGGAAAGACACGATTTTTTTTATCTTGGATGTCGTTTGCCTGTTAACCTACATATACACAATTGAAAAATTAGGATGAGTGGGGGCGGGGGTGAGGGGTGGACAAGCTTCAACCCATGCATATGCAATATAATATATGTATATACATGTAATTTATTGACTATTCCGTCATAGAGTTGAAGTTAGGGGTCATCTTAATCTTGCTTTAAGGGATGGCCTCTAAAGTTCATTACTGAAGACCTTCCAGCAACTGTCTAGATGAACAACAATGAAAGCCATATTCATTTGATACAATTGCTTATTTCCGTAAATGTCATTGGATATATGAGTTCCATGTTTATTCAACCCATATTTTTCTTTTTCCAAAGGATCCGTTATCAAGATTTTTTTCTACAATTGTGTCTGCAAATGGATGTACTCTTAAAGTTATATCTCAGTAAAGATAATCTTTAATTTGGAAAATATGATATTGAACAATGAATAAACCATGAACAATGAACATTGAACAATGAACAATGAATGAATGAGTGAACAATGAATATGTGTCAATTTTAAAAGACTTTCCTTAAATCTAACTATGATAAATAAGCACTTAAGGATGTTCGCACCTCTATTTGAAAATAACAAGTTTTTTTAAAAGACTGTTGGAAATTGATATTTTATAGATAACGGAACTTAAAAAGTAGAAAAAAATGACAGGTCCGTGTTCTTGTTTTTAAGATATAGTCAATTGAAACTTTGGCGGGAAATGATTCTCTCTAGATTTTTCATAGATTTAACAGTGGCATCTTTTTTCTTTAAAAAATTATGAAACAAATAACAAGGATTTTATAAGATTTTCAAAAATAGCTTTTTATGCTATTAATATATAATAAAATTATGATAAGTAAAGTAGGGTTTAGCGGGCAAATTTTTTATTGGCACAACATGGATAAAACTAGAGTACTTCGAATATCTGACAAAAAGTCAAAAACAAAAGTAGCGAATATCCTTAAAATAAGAAACCATGACAAGGAATTTTCTTATCTTCTTATCAACCAATTTTTCCAATTTGATGTAAATTATCATCACGGTCATGTTTACAACGTCTTATATTTTTCTGTAGATAAAAAGAGTAAACGAGTGATCAGAAAAGCTATGCAGCATATTGCAGACAACACCTGTATAACATTTAAGAAAGCCAAAAATAAGGATGAAAATTATGTCAGATTTATTAGTGAGCCGGGGTAAGTGTTTTGATATTTCAGATTTGATCATTTCTTAGATTCCAGTGTTTTCTTTTCTTTTCTTCAGATCCCTGTGAATGGCTCTTTATAAACATTGTAGATCTGCTACTGTCACGGGGGAAATAAAAAACCACAAAATCAAGAATCAAATAGACAATCATTTTGTCAAAAGAAAAAAGGACAAACACCAGCCCGCTACACTACACTACACTACACTACACTACACTACACTACACTACACTAGACCTAAACTAAATATTAGGGATAAACAGTTCCTGTTCTTGTTGCTCCGGATAATCTGGTCATAAGTCGTACTCGGCAGATTATTTATGAATAATTACATTACGTGTATATTTCATTTGAATCCCTAGTTTTGATTGGCTGACCACAATTGCAAAGCACTCTAATATCATATTTTATTTCCGTCAACACAACAGCTATGACTGCATGCACGTTATTTTAAATAGTATATTTCGTTTTTCTAAATAAAAGTTTGAGGTTGATGTTTCGTGACTAAAATTCACATTTCTATTAAATTTGTAATTGTATAATTATCAATATATATTTTTAGTTACTACTGGTAGTTTGTCACGTTATTTAACAAAGCACACAATTTGTATCAAAATATTAAACATGTATATTGGATATAATTTTATGCATAATTGTATACTCTGTATAAACTTAGCTTGAGACGCAGAAGTTGTACACCTGTTTAATAATTCCTTGTGATTTTGAATTGTAATGTTTTCATTGAAGGAATGTGGAAAATAATAATTGAATTTATTGGAAAAGTATAAATATGCTGTTTGAAATCCAGACAAAAAACTATACGCACTTGGTAAAACCAATGGCAAAGAAACAACTCTTATAATGCTGTGCTTCATGTCAAGGATAAAAAATCTTGGCAGATGCTTAGAACTAACATTTGTATAATATATTGGCAAAAAACAAAAACCCAACAAATCTTTAGCTAGATCTATGTATCTCAATTGTTGGAGTTTTTCAGATAAAATAAAAATTACAAAAACATCTTATAGCTTCATTGTAGCTTACTTAGCTTCTCTTATAAGGATTGTAAAATAACAGGCACACAGTTCTTTGCCTTATGCAGACATTTTATAATTTGTGGAAAATATTTGATGTTATACAAAAACTCTTTCAGATGTTGGTCTAATATAGGACATGTCGGCAATGGAGAACAGAAATTAAGTATAGGTAGAGGATGTAATGAAGTAGTGGGCGTGGCCGTACACGAGTTATTGCACGCTCTTGGGTTCTGGCATGAACAGGTAATAAAACTTCAAAGACATTATTTTTCAAGTTAATTTGTATGTAGGTTCATAAATTCATACATTTAGAAGATCATAGCTAAAAAGTATATGAAAGATATGAGATAATATACTGACGGGCTTTAAAAACGCAACACACATGTTGGTGATTTCTTTTACCAACTGTTGATTAATCTTCTTATAACTACTTTTCATGCTTACCATTCTTCTTTCTGTTTAAAAAAATAAATACCTGACTTACTTTGGGTAATTGAACATATCGATTTATTGACATCGCACGAATTTCTTAAATCAATATTTGAAACCCATGTTTAATGTTTTAAGGTTCCTTTTCTTCGTGAAACATTTCTTTCAATCATACCCATACTTGTTCCAGCAACAAAACGTTACATTTCCATATTGCCGAAACTGAGCAGTGGAAATCTGAATCAGGCTATAAGAATATAGCTGGCAGAAATACATGAACGTGGTGTTGTTAGGCCATTTCTCGCCAGAAACTCCTCTAACTGTCCTTCCAACAACAGTACAGGCAGACGGGATGTATTGATGCCCATCAATAACCAGATCAATATGTAAAGACAATGCCACGTCATTGACGAGACATGCTTACGGCCGCAATGTCAACTGCCAATCAAGTCGAAGAATGCCATGGCAAAAATTCATGCTTTAAATGTTTCCCATATTCTGAAATGTCAAAGAATTGGCTGCAGAAAAAGTCCAAAAGTTTAAACCACATTATTGCCAAACACACACTGTAATGGGTGAGACCGAGGCGAGGGTTTCAGTGCATACCACCATATTTGAACATTAAACATGACGTAATCAATTCAACGTTTGAACATATCCGAACTGCAACATTTTTTGAAACAATGAATTGATGAATGAGTTTTATGTTTATACGTTTATTTTTACAAGAATTGTTTATTTGAAAATGAGAATTAAAAATAATATTCTAGTGTTGGATTTTTAAGTCTGTCAGTATATACACATTTCGCAAACCAATATTTGTAAATGAGGTTTTTTTTGTTGCAATTTGAACCACTTATAATATATTGTAAAAGTAGGTTTTGTTTATATCTGTCAAAGAATGTTTAATAGCAATCGTTTATGACAAGTCTTGCATCTATATAATACTAGTATGCAGAATACATTTTATTGCAAAAAACAAATAACATAAAAAAAATAATTTACGAAATAATACCAATTAGAAAATAGAATTCTTGCATTCAGTACTGACTAATAAGCAAAACTTTCTCCTAGTGTTATCAAGATATTCCTGACCTGCAGAGTATGGTGGCCCTTATTATTTGTTGAGATAATGTACTATCATGAACATACGGATATGGGAAAATATACCCGTTTGGTGTTCAAGGAACCAACTAAATTGTAATAATTTGAGATTATCTGTATGATTCCTTGATTTTTTGTTTAGTCTAGGCCAGATAGAGATAACTATGTACAGGTACTGATGGAGAATGTAGCAGAGAGGTACAAGAAGGATTTTGAAAAACTCAATAAAACATTAGTAAATTCAAGAGGCTACCCTTATGACTACCTCAGCATAATGCACTACAAAGAATTTACTTTCACTAATACAGGAGATGAAACTATAAAGGTAAATATTTGCATTTCCTAATATTAAAAATATTTCCATAGTGGGTATTCAATAAAGAATCTATGCATGCATGTATATATAATACGCTTTATAAAAGATTGATGTAGTGAATAATGTAATAATAAGATAACGTCAATACGACAATAAAGTTCTTTTCTATTTGGTAATAATACCAATGATTTTGCACTTAAATTTAAAGGACACCTCTCTTATATGGTCAGTTTTTCCTATTCCCAAGCGTGACATTCAGGGCATTTGTTACATTGCTACAATGACTGCTTTTTTCAGTGTCAAAACTTTTAACATGTAGTAATGGTAAACGCAAACGAGACGATATAAAATAAGGATGATGATTAATGGCTGCTTAACATCCAGCTTCAAATTAATATGCATATTCAGGACGAGAACATGTTAATGAATTATGAATATTAACTCTGCTTTGTACTAGACCGACACGCTGAGCCGGATTTTTAACGTGCTAGTTCACACGGTAACAGTCCGCAGGAAGACATGTCACCTTACCAGGAAACAATATTCTGACTCCGAGCCATATATATATATATATATATATATATATATATATATATATATATATATATATATATATATATATAAAATAAGGAGACTTGGTATGATCGCCAATGATACTGCTATCGACTAAAGTTCAAATAACGTAGATGTTAGCAACTTTAGGTCACTGTACGGCCTTCAACAATGAAAATAGTCCATACCATAAAGTTCAAACATACAACAAAAAAAAAGAAAAAAGCAACAACGGTCGGATTTATGACAAAACAATAAACGAAAAAAATATATGACAGACAGCAACCAACGACAACCACGTGCACTGTACTCATTTATACTAAAGAAACAGTCATTCATTAATCTAATCGTTCATTTGATCAGATCCTTTGGATATTTGAATCCGGAAAGGTATATTTTTGTTTGTTTCTGTAGGTTAAAGGTATCGGAAAGAAATTACGGATGCCAATTGGACAGAGAACTGCTATGAGTAATATAGACATAGCACAGCTTAGAGATATGTATCACTGTAACAAGAAACAAGACGCCAATGAAACAGGTAAATTTTATAAATATATTAATGTTCAATCTCATTGTACAGCATACCTACGTCCCTTCTTTTCACAAATAAGTTTTGATACCATCATTACTTAAACTCATTATAATGTAATAACGAAAAGTAAAATAACAAAATAACTGAACACCAAGGAAAATTCAAAACAGAAAGTCCCTTATCAAATGGCAAAATCAAAAGCTAAAACACATCAGACGAATGGAAAAACAGCTGCCATTTCCATATATTGTAGTCGCATTGAATTCCATTATATTGACAACAATGAGCAAAGCAAACAGACATAATAGGTAAAAATGTCAAAAATCAGGATACAGCAGTCAACATTGTGTTATAATCTTAATCACTATAAAAACTTACAACTATGTCAACCAAGGAAAACAAAATGGCATATAGACACTCTATAGACAAATCACATAAGCAAAAATGAAAGATCAGAATACAAAAAAATACCATAACACAATAACACAATGGTGGAATGTATAAATACCGTACCATGGTTTTTAACAAATGTGTGCTGAAACGTAACTGCACTAGTAAAAACAAGGACAATTGACAAATGAAAAGAGTATTTAAGGATTTCTTTATTCATATGAGAAGCATTACTGGACTATATCTACAGATCATGATTTTTTGTTATTTTAGTGTGCCTACCAGGATGGGTGAAATTTCAGAGAAGCTGTTACAAATTTTTAAAAAGGCCTAAGTATCAGTTTGCAGCCGCGGTAAAGTACTGCAGAGAGTTCAACAGTTATCTAGCACAAATTGACAATAAATACGAAGACAAATTTTTACAAAAACATGTGGTAAAAAAATATCCCAATACGCTAAGATGGAGACTAGGAGGAAAGAAAATAAATGATACTTTTTATTGGATAAATGAGGATAACGAACCAATAGAAATAAAGTATTCAAATTGGGCGGAAGGAAATCCGGCAAAGTACACATCAATGGTTCTACGCAAACACAACAAGACGTCTGAAGCTGTTAGTTGGCAAGGAGCATGGACAGGATCTTTCAAAAATTTTCCTAAGAATTCGTATGCGTTTATATGTGAACGTCCAGCTAAACGTAAGTTTACTAACTGTGCTATGTTACAAAAATCATTGGAGACAGAAGATCATAAATTTGAATGATACAGCTAATATTAGCATAGACATCAGAGTAAAGGTTCCCAAAACTCTCCACCACTTTTTAGTTTATTTACTATAACAAATATATCCGATACACTTTATCTTTTCTTTGCTTATCAGAGTGTATTAGACGTGACTCGAAAGTATCTTTCGCGACTATAATTAAACATTTAGGCGATTGTAAAATAAATAGATAATTCAAAACTATAGAAATATAAGTTGCTTAAATTAAATCCTACACATATACTATTGTAGAATATTTGCTTTTAAAAGTTTTGACGTTTTTTGAGTGAAAGATGTTGTTTTACATCCTTTTACTCGGACATACCTGTACGGAGTTTTTTTTTTGCAATTTTTTGCAATTTTTTATTTTTTATTTGAAAACACCTACAAGTAACTTTCTATGCAAAGCGTTCAGATGATTATTGCAAATGTCCATGTTTCATGCAAATATACATATATATCGGAATGTCAAATGGCTTGGATAAGTTTTTTATATATAATATGACTACTATTTTCTCATTCACAGGCAAATGTATCCCTGGTAATTATTCAGACGGTCGTGAGTACCGTGGTACACTAGCCCACACATTTACTGGCATAACTTGCCAGAATTGGAATTTGCAGTATCCACATCAACATAAGGTTATACCGAAAGGTTCATTACAAATAGACCCTGATGGACTAGGGGAACATAACTACTGTAGGAATCCGTCCAAGCTGAGGAGAAATAGACCATGGTGCTTTACTACTAAATCTAAAATAGAATGGGAATATTGTGATGTGCATATATGTAGTAAACTTGTTAAGAAAACGGACAATAAAATTCCAGAAAGATTGACTGAACAAAATAAACAAAAACGAAAAAAGAGGAACACATTGAAGAATTCTAAGACAAAGAGGCTGACTGTGGTATAATTTGAATATGTAGTAGTTTTCTCAAAGGAAGATTAATATAGTATTATCAAAGACTTTAAAAGTAATATTTGTCTATAAGATGGCAATATAACGCATGGCATCGAATCCAGGCTGTAGAGAGAATGTAGATTGACAAAATGTCAACGTTGGAACTAACGAACATGATATTTACGCATAGTTGTATACAGTACTATCGCAACTTTCCGTTCAGATTTTATTTACAGTATTACGTTTGAAATAGAAGTATGACAATCAGAAGACTGAAACGTATTTGTTTATTTGTTTTTATATCTAATTGATACATTTTTGTATAGAAGAAATCTGGACCGATTTTGAGTGTTTCTTTTTGATGCATTTTTGTATGAAAGAGATGTGAATTTTGTTTTTATATAGAAATATATGTACGATGTGCAATAATAGTACTAACTTATATTACATATATTTATTGGTTTCACATTTTCATTTCTAAGTTTTTAACAGCACAGATATAAAAAGGGTAAAGGTTGGAATTCCTATACAATGTATCAATATTGATTTCCATATATCATTGTCGTGTAAAGTTGTCACACTCGTAATTGAGAGAACACGGTGCTGTTTAACATTTTCTTTCTTTAGAAAGTAAACATTGATTTGTAATGCAAGATTAAAAGCATATAAATATAATTTGCTTATTTTGTTTGCGATGAATTTCAAGCATAACATATTTCAGTTCATCAGGTTGACAGAGAGTCTAGCTCAAAAGAAATTTATCACTCTATTTCATCTAACTGGATCTTAGAACACATATTCTAATATACTTTTAAACATTATATGCGTCTAAAACCTGTTTTTAGTCGATACTTAATGGTTGCAAACTGATTTTCAAAATAATTTAATGGTTTATCATTGGTAAATAAAAAGTAATTTATGAAAAGCGCTTCGTACCAATAAAATTTATAGTGTTAATTCATTTTTATAGAACCAATACTTTGTCCAGCTGTCCCGATTCTCCCTTTTCCTCAGAGTTTATCATGATTATCACAGTAGCGTTTAAGAAGTATGAATGTATCGGTCAGCCGATTCATGATGATGACCATAAAACGTATGTAGTGCTTGTTAATTTCAGTCGTTCCTCCTTACAACTCTGTTGGAGCAATTATGTGTATAGAACACACTCCTGTCCTTAAATTGTTAATAGTTATCAAAGGTACCTGGATTATAATTTAGTACGCTAGACGCGCGTTTCGTCTACATAAGACTCATCGGTGACGCTCATATCAAAATAGTTATAAAGCCGAACAAGTACAAAGTTGAAGAGCATTGAGGATCCAAAATTCCAAAAAGTTGTGCCAAATACGGCTAAGGTAATCTATGAATGGGATAAAAAAATCCTTAGTTTTTCGAAAAATTCAAAGTTTTGTAAACAGGAAATTTATAAAAATGACCACATAATTGATATTCATGTCAACACTGAAGTGCTGACTGCTGGGCTGGTGATACCCTCGGGGACGAAACGTCCACCAGCAGTGGCATCGACCCAGTGGTGTAAATAGTTATCAAAGATACCAGGATTATAATTTAGTACGCCAGACGCGCGTTTCGTCTACATAAGACTCATCAGTGATGCTCATATCAAAATAGTTATAAAGCCAAACAAGTACAAAGTTGAAGAGCATTGAGGATCCAAAATTCCAAAAAGTTGTGCCAAATACGGCTAAGGTAATCCATGAATGGGATAAAAAAATCCTTTGTTTTTCGAAAAATTCAAAGTTTTGTAAACAGGAAATTTATAAAAATGACCACATAATTGATATTCATGTCAACACCGAAGTGCTGACTACTGGGTTGGTGATACCCTCGGGGACGAAACGTCCACCAACAGTGGCATCGACCCAGTGGTGTAAATAGTTATCAAAGGTGCCAGGATTATAATTTAGTACGCCAGACGCGCGTTTAGTCTACATAAGACTCATCAGTGACGCTCATATCAAAATAGTTATAAAGCCAAACAAGTTAACTTGCACTAGCGTAAAGTATTAACTGAGACACGTAAACGGTCATACGATGAATCAGAGGGTATGTCACTGCTGACAAAATAAAACAGACAAGTTTGTGCAAATGGGACAAATCAAGATGGAAATAATCAAACGGAATACTTTTGCAAATCAACCTACATCTTACGATACAGCAACAAAACCAGAATAAATACATCTGCCTCTCCTTAAATATCTCTCTCCGAATAGTGATAATTTTCATCGATGAGTTAAATGTAGAAATGTTGTGTTTCATTTCCCAAAGAATGTCTGTCACACATACAATCTTTACAGAATTATTTACTATTAAATTGGATATTTCTTTCAAATGGTTATATTTGTTGAAGAAAAAGAGAGGCGAAAGATACCAGAGGGACTCACAAGTTGAAAATAAACTGACAACGTCATGTTAAAAAAAGAAAAAGACCAACAGACAAACAAACAAAAAATAGAACACACAAGACAACATAGAAAACTAAAGACTGAGCAATAGGAACCCCACCAAAAACTGGGGGTGATCTCAGGTGCTCCGGAAGGGTAAGTAAAGCCTGCTCCACATGTGGCACCCGTTGTGTTGCTCATGTTAGTTCAAACCCAGTAATAAGTCCAATTCGGTAGGTCACATTCGGGAAAAGGAACGGGATTGTAGTTACGACATAAGGAACATATCCTCTATTTTCTGTGAAACGTATATTCCCTTACGGCCAATAACTCGTGATGGTGTCCGTAAAACTTATGAAGGGATGATTCCAACTTCACCAATCGGAACTCTTGCTTCCTTGTGAGCATCAACCGTCTATAAAGGAAATCATTATAGGAAATACAAGCCCTGGAATATCGTATCAACTGGGAGATATAAACTCAGTATGCAGGCGCTGCTGGAATGTTGCTACATAGAAATGAAAATTCACAATTGGGAAGCTAAAATCATCTCTTTTGTCGTACAGTTTTGTTTTCAACCGACCCTCATTGTCAATTTCTAGATGTTAGTCAAGATATGAGGCAGACTAAACTTTATCTGTTATATCCTTTATCTCGAGATCGAAGGGATAGATGCTTTCAACATACTCACCAAATTTTGAACTATTTAGTGAGAGAACTTCGTCTATATAGCGGAAAGTAAAGTTACAGGATACTGCTAACTTCTTTTCTTTCTTCCTAAGAAGTTCCTGTATGAAATTAGCCTCATATGAATAAAGGGACAAGTCGGCAAGAAGAGGGGCACAGGTTGTTCCCATGGGAATGTTGGTTGTTTTTTGAAAAACACGTTCTCCAAACGTAACAAATATGTTGTCAACCAAGAAATCAAGCATCTTGATAATGTCAGTTTCAGAGAATTTTTTGTTTGAATCAGAGTGATTTTTTACAAAGTAGGATGTATCCGTCCCTAAGACAAGATACTTATAATTACGTTGGCCATTCTGTTTTATGAAACAGAAAGTTTAAATGTTTAAAAGTTGCTGGCTGGAGAAATTATGCATTGGTGTTGATAAAATATATAAATACGCAAGACCCTTGTTTTTAATTTGAAAAATCATGTATAACTGCTTAGGGACCAACATCTTAACTACTTTTATACACATAAAATCATTCAATCGGTTTTTACAGTAAATTCATACATAAATTCTTGAATGAGCCTTTTTTTGGAGGTTAAAATATTTCTTAAAAAAGAAACTTTTGATTTTGAATGCCTAATCAGAAAAACAACAAATAGATCCATATCATCAGATTTTATGGATTGCACGGTGGAAAAATATAATTAAACTGCAAACCTTTGATATTGTTATATTATCAAATGCCCTCCTCTAGTTTACATTTGTGATAAACAAGTAAACATTTGTTTCATATATATCTATTCTATCGGTAACATAACGTTATATACAACTACATAGCAAATATTTATCCTACAGGTATATTTGAAAAATCCCATCAACTTGAAGTAGTACAATTATGTCGACTATTAGTATGTACTTATTCAAATATAATTTACTTCACGTCATTTCGTGTTATTCTTAAGAATTCAAAAGAAGTAAAATATTCATTGAGAAAGATCAATTCAAGTTATGTTATATATTCTAAGCTTAATGTACAGTATTAAAAATGTTCCGTTATGAACGGTTAAAACATAATGATAACAAAAGTCATTCTACAATTCGGTATACAATTTCATGAATGTGCAACAGGTATCTTTAGCGTTTAATCAAATATTTGTATGTTTAATCTGTTATGTCCTGAAGATGGTTAACTCTTGTGTACAACCATTTGTGGTTGGTGTTTAAAATTCGCTTTGTAACACATACATGTACCTTAGTTTATAATTAGTACAAAGACTATTCTGTATCTTATTTTCTGATAAACATTTTGTTCTGCATTGTTCGAATTTTGAATCGTTGTGACTTTGATACTTTCCGATGTACAGCAAATTACATATACGACGAATAAAAGTAGAACTGTAAAGAATGCACCTACATATCATCGCAGAGTTTATTTTTCTAATTTTAAATTTTCATTTCTCGAAACCCTGTCCTACACATTTTCTTTAAAGACGATATTATATTGGCACTGAACCAAATCTTCGTTCAAAACAAGGTCAATTATAGTGCCTTGTCACAATCAGCGTATACAAAGTTAATTTGAAAATTTCATAACAATTGGATAATTTGAGAAAAAAAAATATGGATCAATTGGAAGTACAAAAACAAAACAATACAAATTATACTACTGTATTCAGTAAGAGAATATTAATACTTCTACGCTCGATGTAGATATTAAAGAAAGAACCTATGTGAGGAAGTTCACATACCCCACACCCCCGCATTGTTACTGGGAAAACAAATTTTTACCAGATTCCTTAGTTCAAAAATTAATAAAAACGAGGCGAATGATACCAAAGGGAAAAAAAATTAAACTCATAAGTCGAAAATAAACTGACAACGCCATGGCTAAAAAAGAAGAAGACAAAAGAGAAACAACAGTACACAAAACACAACATAGAAAACTAAAGACTGAGCAACACAAACCCCATCCACAACTTGGGTGATCTCAGGTGCTCCGGAAGGGTAAGCAAATCCTGCTGCACCCGTCGTGTTGCTCATGTTAGTACAAACCCGGTGATAAGTCTAATTTGGAAGGTCACATTCGGGGAAAAGGGGACGGGATTGTAGTTACGACAATTGGAACATATCCGTTGTCATCTGTGAAACGGATATTCCCTAACGATCCACCAACCTGTGATGGCGTCTGTAAAATTTACGAAAGGATGATTTCAAATTTACACATTGGAACTCTTCGTCTAATAGCTTCCCTGTGAGCAGCAACCCTCTATCAAGGAAATCATGATAAGAAATGCAAGCCCTGGAATATCGAATCAATTATATATATAATTATAGATATATACTTCGTATGTAGGTGCTGCTGGATTGTTGCTACATAGAAATGGAAAGTTCACAACTGGGAAGCTGTCAATTTCTAGATATAAGTCACGATATGAGGCAGCCTTAAAATTATTTAGTGAGAGAAAATTATCTATATAGCGGAAAATGAAGTTAAAGGATACTGCTAACTTCTTTTCTTTCTTCCTAAGAAGTTCATGTATGAAGTCAAAATCGTATGAATAAAGGAACAAGTCGGCAAGATAAGGGGCACAGTTGG